CGTTGTTTTGCATATATATATATATATTTTCTCTCTGTGAGAAAAATAATTTAACTTTCAAGTAATTCACAATTTACGAAAGTTTAGAAAATAAAAAAAGTCTATTTTCTACAAGTTTCTTAGCAGAAAATTTCAAAATTTCATTTAGTATATTGGAAGAGAGATTTTCAGAGATTTCAAGAATTCTTGAACGTTCTTAATATCAGGAAATAAAAGGAATTTTTTCTATTATTATTATTATAGATTTCCTCATGAGCTTGTGAAATTACAAGACAATTTCATGTTAAATTTATTATTTTTATTTTTTATTTTAGTGTTTTTCTACTAGACAACTTGTAAAGGATGGTCATGCCGGATATTAATCGTAATTCAAGACATTTCTATGACACTTCTGATTTTTTTCGAAGCTTAAAAAGACAGCTTAGAAGATAAATTTAATAGCATTTTTTTTATTTTTTTAGAAAATATATTGTTTTTATTATACAATTGTTTTAAAAGATACCTTTGCAACACGCGATTCTGTGAAGCTTTGTGGTAATTTAATTCAGTTTTTTTTTTTGGGAAAATTACTTCATTTTTATACCGTAAAATGTCATTTTTATATATTTAAATGCTTATTTTCTCGTATTTAAGTTTTAATTTTTGTATATAAAATTAAATGTTTCCTTAAACCTTATATTGTACTAAAGTGTAGCAAGCTTCAAATATAATGAAACCTCTATACAACGGCCACTGATAAGAACAGAAGAAATTACTGTTTTTTGAGGGTGGCCTCTGTTTTGAGGTTATTTGCACGTGCTTGAAAAATTCGAAAAAGAACGTACCTGATAAAATGGCTGCCATTTAGAGTTGCCCGTTATTGGAGGTTCGGCTGAAATTTGATTTTTAATGGGTTTTAAAAGATAAATTTCTAAAATTAAAATATATGGAATGTTCTTAAATATTTATAAATATTGGTCTAGCACACGAGAACAGAACTATAAAGCACTTAAATGTAGACAACAATAATGAAAATATATAGTTTTATATACAGCTTATGTTGTTTCTCAGACTGTAGACCTTGACCTACTGACTGACGAAACACGACTCTTTCCTTGAGTAGCATTCAACTCTAAATATATTATTGAATATTCTTGAGTATTATTAAGCTATAAATAACTAGAAAGAAAACAAATTAAATTCTGGGTAATCCAGACTCGAACCCGGGTCCTTCAGAATTGCACAAGCTTCTAATAATTCTGGCTGGCCCTTTCATGGCGGTTTGGTTCCTACTTTATGCAACGCCACAACAAAGGAAAGGAGATATAATAGGCAAAGAAATGGGGGCCTTTGTAGTGTCTTCATTTAGAGAAAAATAGGAAAAAAGTATTTCTGTGTACTAACAGAAGAAACTATTGATTAAAATCTAAAAAACTCAGCACACGATTAATATACATACATTAGTCGAACATTCCAGTTGCCACCTCTATATAACGAACGACATTTCTAGAACTTTTTCGAAAAAACTCAGAAAATAGCCTTCAAACAATGGCCACTTGCGAACGTCCCATGATCCCATGATCCCGTCAATGGCCGTCGTTCAGAGGTTTCACTGTAATATTATCGGTTTACTACAAAAATTAGGTTTATACCATTAAAAGAACATTTTCGCATCTAAATGTCGAAAAATTGTAAAATTTTATAATGTCGAGTAGAAAATTACTTCAATGTGTGACGAGAAAATGGGTCTATAGAAATATTTCTACCTTTATTTAAAATTTATGTAATCGTATGCATAAATTCTGCATGATAAACACAAGATTTCCACACGACTTAACAATTTTTTGAGAAAGAAAGTGGATAAAGAATACTTTTGCTTCAGGGTGATTGTAAAATCTGAAGTCCATGAAATGTATATCTGTAGATTTGTAAGTTTATTGTAATCTATTTATCATTTTTCTACTTTTTACCTGTTATAAAAAGCAATAATAAGTTTATATTATAAAATTCACTATTCCTTTTTATAAATTGACATAGTTTATGTTTATTTTCTTCTACAACATATAACATGTAAATAAAACATATGAGTATCTATAAATCTAAAAAAACATTATAGAGAAGGAAAAGTTATGAAAAAATTTATATAAATAATAGGCGGTTTTCAGTTAATTTGATGATATTTAAGGAAAAAAATTATTGCCACGCCTACTTTCATTTTAATAACCAATTATCTTTCAAATAATGAAGCATCTAGCCAATCACGTTAAAATATTATTTGAATTTTTCAGACGATGTTTGTTACAAATTTAACTGAGAACCTATTATATTTATAGCAATATTTATTAACTATATATCGAAAATTCTTTCAAATTTTAAATTTAAATTTATTACAAAATATCTTATTTAAAAATGCATTTATTCAAGTATAATTTTTCGTCAAACATGATTATAAATTTATGCAAGTATGACTCATTAATTTCTCAAAGTTTTCCCATAAAATTTCGAATTATTTAGCCATATTTTTGGGAGAAAAATTATCCAAAACTAATAATAACTAAAGAAAATATGATTTCTACCATTCAGATCATGCAAAGTCGTTTTATCTAATACATTTTAATGTAGACATATATTAAAATATGAAAGCACATTAAAATTTATGTTGAGGACTTTAGGTAAACATATATAAGCTAACGTCGATCTATTTGATACTATCAAAAGTATCGTCTTTTAAGAATTCGACCGTTGAAATGTCTGTCTGTCCTTTGTCCATGATCATAAAATATGTACTTCACTCTAACCTACATTTGATAGCACAGAAAATATACTGTTTAAAAATATATTTTTAGTTGATGTTTGTGACTAATGAGCATTTAAACTTCAACTTTTAACCAAGGATTATTATATATTTTTTTTATATAATTTAATTTAATTTTATAATAAAATTCTAAAACATGCTTAAATCTCTGTAAAAGATAAAGATTCATGCCTAAGTTATATGTAGGTATATAAAACTATGAGTATCTATAAATCTAAAAAAACATTATAGAGAAGGAAAAGTTATGAAAAAATTTATATAAATAATAGACGGTTTTCAGTTAATTTGATGATATTTAAGGAAAAAAATTATTGCCACGCCTACTTTCATTTTAATAA